TTTATCCGAATTCAAAGTATCCTACCAGACAGGTCTTGGCATTCCTCCACGCACCAGCGTGCCAGGAGGCACGGTGGCGGATATCTGGTTTGACCTAGCTGAGAAGTGGTTTACAGTTCGGACAGTGGTTTGGGCGATTGATGACCGGATCCAGAATTCCCGTAAGCCGCCTGAGGCATTTGTGACGCACATGTAAGTTAGGTCAGGCCAGACTTAATCCGCCTCGGCATCCATTGATAGTCCCGCCCGATCTTTTTAGTATTTCCGCGCGGATCCCAGCAGCGGCCGAACACGGCCAAACACCCCCCGTCGTGGGGAAAACCAGCCGTGCCAATACCGCTACTCCCCTCTCCCGGGGTGCGTTCTGACCAGCATCTCGATCCGACCCCGGCGGTGGCGACGAGGGCGTCCGAGGAGGCCACAAAGTGCAAAAATCGGGGCGCGGGCAACGGCATGGGTACCTCTCCCGACGCGAGAAGTGTGGAGGACGATCAATGGAGAGGAAGCAGGTTGCCAAACAATTCCCAGGTGTCCAGAACATGTGTTAGAATTGTCTCAGACATGTCAAACACAGGTTTTGACCATTCCCACGACAGTTGCCCGACAATTGAATCACATGCTTAATTCGATGATAGCACTGTGAGGGTGTCCCAAGGGCTCCCTCGAGGGCGCGAAGTTATTCGCGCTTCGCGCTTCGCGGTCCTCGTTCCTTCTCCTCCTCCTCCTCGTCCTCCTCTTCTCCCCCTTGGGGGGCGGCGCGAGAGCGCGAAGCTATTCGCGCTTCGCGCTTCGCGCAGCGCGAAACGCGAACTTAGGAGCCTTTGGTGTCCATGGTCGTGGCAGCCGCAACGCGAGCACCTCTGCAAAACCCGCCGCAGGGCTGCGATGCGCGGCGGTGCCCGCGGCGCCCCGAGGGCCTGGGGACCGGTGGCCCTCGCAGGACCGCTGGCCGGAAGGGGGGGGGGAGGAGGAGGAGGAGGAGGAGGAGGAGGAGGAGGAGGAGGAGGAGGAGGAGGAGGGGGAGGAGGAGGAGGAGGAGGAGGAGGAGGAGGAGGAGGAGGAGGAGGAGGAGGAGGAGGAGGAGGAGGAGGAGGAAGAAGAAGAAGAAACATATTCAGAATAATGATATTAAGAAGAAGAAGAATAAACATAAAAACAAGCATCACAACAATACTACTACTAATAATAATAATAAGAGGAGGAGGAGGAGGAGGAGGAGGAGGAGGAGGAGGAGGAGGACGAGGAGGAGGAGGAGGCGGAGGAGGACAAGGAGGAGGAGGAGGAGGACGAGGACGAGGAGGAGGAGGAGGACGAGGACGAGGAGGAGGACGAGGACAGGCCCTTCAGGGTCAACGGTCTCTGCGGACGGCTCGTGTGCACCGTAATTACCGTGTTGGCGTCTCCTTCGGTGGCCAGTCATGCGAGCCGGGTGTACCCCTCTCGATTCCGTTTTCGGCGTCGCGTCGAACAGCGTCTGAGAGTCGGTGGGAGCGCCGATGTAGCGTCGGCTAGCGTCGATGTAGCGTCGATTTCGCGTCGATTAGCGTCAACTTAGCGTCGATTCGCAAGAGTCGACAAGATGTCGCGACGCCAAACAAGTTTGTGTGTGTCTGTGTTTGTGTTTTCGTGCGTGCGTGTGCGTGTGCGTGTGCGTGTGCGTGTGCGTGTGCGTGTGCGTGTGCGTGTGCGTGTGCGTGTGCGTGTGCGTGTGCGTGCGTGTGTGTGTGTGTGTGTGCGTGTGCGTGTGCGTGTGCGTGTGCGTGTGTGTGAGTGTGAGTGTGTGCGCGTGGAGGGAGGGGGGAGGGCCGGGCAAAGATTCGGAGGGTGCGGCGCCGATCGAGCTGTGGCAACCCGTAGGGGGCGCGAGAAGGTGCCCGCGCCGCGCGGCCTGGCCCGAGCGAGAAGTAGCCCCTTTCTCGGGGGCGGCAAAGAGGGGGGTGATGACCAGGGGGGGGTGGATCTCATGGCGGGGGCCACGATATCTCCCCAGGTTTCATGGCGCCTCTTCCTGTTTCGATACGTACCTGGCCCCCCCCTCTGGGGCCGCGCACATGCCGCCGGCCATGATTTGCACCCCCCCCTCTTTAGCAGGAGGACCCCCCCCTCTTTAGCAGGAGGAGGAGGAGGAGGAGGAGGAGGAGGAGGAGGAGGAGGAGGGGGAGGGGGAGAAGAAGGAGCACGAGGGAGGAGTAGGAGGAGGAGGAGGAGGAGGAGGAGGAGGAGGAGGAGGAGGAGGAGGAGGAGGAGGAGGAGCAGGAGGACACCCCCCTCTTGGCCGCTCCCGACTTTCCAGGAGGGACTGCGCGGGAGCGCCGAGGGAGGCGACGACACGGCAGGCTCACGCGGCGTGGGCGCGCCGGCGGCACTGGCGAAGGCATTCGAGGTCAAATTCTGCGACGTGGAAGCACCAAGGGACACGGCGACGTCACTGGGCCCGACAGAAGCCAACGCTCTAGGCCTCCCAAATGGGGTCGGAGTAGATGGGGTCGGAGGGTCGCGCCGCATCGGCGATACATCGCCGATGCGGCTCGATGCGGAGCCCGAGTTTCTCCACGCCGACGTCGCCGATGCGTAGCCGACGTCGGCGATGCATCGTCGGTGCATCGCCGATGCATCGCCGATGCATCGCTGATGCATCGCCGATGCATCGCCGATGCGGCGCGATCCTCCGACACCATGTACTCCGACCCCATCTCGGAGGCCTCTAAACGCTGCACAACCGGGGCGACGACTGAACCAAAGCTGCACGAACAACGCGGCGTCAGCAGCCTGTGTTCGCGCCGACGCCGCACGATCCTACTGTAGGCGCACTTCGCACGGAGAGAGGCGCGATCTTCCGCTACTCGAGGCGCATCCGTGCTGCACGCAGTGCGCTTCGGCCGGAGGCATCGGTGATCCATCGGCGGTTCGGTCCTGGCACGCGGCGTCCTGCCGAGTCGAGACGCGCCGTGGAGGCAAGCGCTGCCGTCAATTATGTTAGCCGCGCCCTTGTCTAGCTTGTACCCGTCGCAGCTCAAAAGATTGGCTCGCTACGTGCACGTGCGTGTGTGTGTGTGCGCGCGTGTGTGTGTGTGTATGTGTGTGTGTGCGCGTGCGTGCGTGTGCGCGTGCGTGTTTGCTTCGATTTTGGCGCGCCCGCGCGCGCTTTGGTTACGCAGCGCCGTCTTCAAAGTTGGACGGAAATAAATGTGATTGCGACGCTCTCGAGTGATGTCGCGACAGGTGTGCGCATCGCCGTGCAGCGGACGATTTTTCCCGTCGTTCGTAGCGTTTGCGCTTGCGCGGTGGACGCGCTCGCACGTTGAAGCTTGCGTCCCCTCAAGGCGCGCGCTGCCCTAGAGAAACGGCTGCTTTCTCACTCGCGTACGCCGCGCGCCAAATCCAACATGTGCGTTGTTTTTTTCGGAAACCCTCTGGGCGTTGTACCAATGAGCATCGCCTGGGGTTCCCCGCTTTTGAATCGATGACACGCCGCCCCATGGCAAAACATGCCTGGCAAAAGTCAATGCCCCGTGGAATTCTGAATACTGCAAAGCAGCCGACGGCAAAACAGGCCGTGCAAAAATCAGTGCTCGGCGGAATTTTGAAAATTTCAACGCGCTTCGTCTGTCAAATCTGTTTTTTGTGTTTTCATTCCGCGGGCCAAGAAGTTAACAGCCATGGCCTGCTAATGGTCGCTGTAGGAGACCCCCTCACTAACTCATGAAAGAGAAACGGCAGTTTGTGAAACAAAATGACGAGATTCATGGAGCAGACCCTACACTTTGGAAGGTTCGGAGGTTACCTCCTCCTCCTCCTCCTCCTCCTCCTCCTCCGCCTAGTGGAACGGAGAGCCCCCCACCGGGAAACCGGCTTCGGCCTCGTGCCTGCGCGTGCCGTGCGCGCGGGCGGGGCGCAGCTGCGCGGGGTCGGGCGAGAGGAAACGTCTCCCGTGGCTGCGGCGCGGCCGGGCCACATGAGTTCCCCCCCCCGGCAAACGGGGCCGCGCGGTGCCCCGCCGGTGTCCCACCGGCGCACCGCTGGTGTCCTGGTAAGTCTCCTGTGGCTGAGGCGCGGCCGGACCAAATGTTTCCCGACATGCAAACGGTGCCGCGCGGTGTCCCGCCGGTGTCCCGCCGGTGTCCCGCTGGTGTCCTGGTGTCCCGCTGGTGCGAAAACGGTAGTGAGACCGATAGTGAGATCGATTGTAAGATCGATTGTGAAATCGATAGTGAGATTGATCGAGTGAGATCGATGGTAAGCTCGATTGTTGGACCGATACTGAGAGCGATAGTGGGATCTGTGGTGAGATCGATTGGGGAAAATCGATCGTTATATCAATCGAGTGAGATCGATAGAGAAATCGATCGTGATATCGATAGTGAGATCGATAGTGCTATCGATCGATAGCGAGATCCATGGAATGGTATCGACAGTGAGATTGATAGTTGGATCGATCGAGGGTGATATCGATATTGAAATCGATCGAGTGAGACCGATCGAGTGAGATCGATAGTAAGGTCGATCGTGATATCGATCGTGGGATCGATCGTGAAACCGATAGTGAGATGCACATCGAAATTCATATCGAAATGCAGATCGAAAAGCATATTGACATGCATATCGATAAGCAAATGCAAATGCAAATCGTCAGGCGCATCCACATCCTGTGCTGTATGGTTCTCCAAGAGCGAGCGGCGACGCAACGATCTCCACTGGCATCGCCAGAACAACAATCACCATTGTTGCCCACTGCTGGCCCCCTCCCCCCCGACCTCTTTCTCACCCGCAGGGTGGTCGTACACCCTAGGCGATGCTCAAGAAAACGTGAGGTTTCGGCCAGAGTCTTGATTATTCTTGCTTCAATGGAAAACCAAACTTTTTAGTAGAAATTGGGGGTTTGTGTTCAAATTCTGAGACTATGAATTTCTGAACCCATGATTTCTTAAGCATTTCGCAGAGTGTATGGGTCATGCTTCTGGCCATAGTCTTGCTCTGCCAACCTGGAGCATCGACCGCGCGGCGACGTCCGCGGGCGGGTCGACGGCGGCCCCCGGCTTCCAGGGCTCTCTGCCCACGCGGCCGGCGTCGCAGGCGACTTGCGGACCGGCGCCCCCCCCCCCCCCGGGGGCCCAAATAAAACGACGCGACGATCGGGACAAAATCGGATCGGGATAACTCGAAATCTCTGAGAATCGGCGGCGGGTTTGGAGGATGTATTGGGCGCCGCGGCCGCTCCAGAGCGTTCCCGAACGCTCTGAGAGCGCTCCGGAACGCTCTGGAGCGATTTATCCCGATCCTAGCCCTGTTTTACCAAACATCGCTCGGGTATAGCCGGGACCCTGGGTAAGGGGACCCGGTTAGTGGTATTCCCCTGGGGCCCCCCAGTTGGCCAGATTCACTAAACCAGGCCTGCTGTAGAGCTGGTGTTCTCTCGGGTGACGGCAGTTCCGGTTCGTGGGACGGGGCGGGGGGGCGCCCCCCAGTTCGGGTGTTGCTAGAAGTACCCCTGGCCCAAGGTGCCCCCAGGATTCTCGGGGTGGCCCCCTGGCCCAAGGTCCCCCAGGTTTGCCGTAACTGGTGTTTTTTCGGGTGACGGCAGTTCCAGTTCGTGGAAATGGGACGGGGGGGCGCCCCCGGTACAAATCACAAAACCAGGTTCCACTAAACCCAGGTTTGCCAACGCCCGAATCGCCTCTTGGGGCCCTTTTAGAGGCGTTCTTGGGGCGCTCTTGGGCGCTGATGGGGCCGTCTCGGGGCTCGTTCGGGCTTCTCTCGGGGCCCTCGGGGGCCTTCTTGGAGCTGTCTGGAGGCCTCGGGAGGCCGCCGAAAGCGAAAAAGCGAGATGGCAGACAACGCCGAATTTCTAGATTTCGAACGGCCGCGGCCTCCTGGTGGTCTTCCTGGGGAGGCTCCGTGGCCACCCAGAGCCGTCTTGGAGCGGCCTTGGGGTCTCTTGGCGGCCTCCTGGGGAGATTCCGTGGCCGCTCGGAGCCGTCTCGGGGCGGTCCTGGGGCCTCTCGAGGCATCTTGAGGGCCAGAGTGAGCCGCCTCGGGCTTTTGCGCCCTCCTGGAGGTCAATCTCGGGGTCTCCGAGGCCTGCCCGGAGCCACCATTGGCCAGCATATGCGCCGCCCGCGGGGCGCCCCGCCCAGGCCCTGGGGGGGGGCGGGGGGAGGGGGGAGCCCCTGTCCTCGGGGGCGGGAAAGAGGGGGGTGATATGACTAGGGGGGGGATCTCATGGCGAGGGCCATGATATTTCCCCAGATTTCGTGGTGCCTCTTCTTGTTTCATTACGTCCCTGGCCCCCCCGCTGGGCCGCGCACATGCCGCCAGTCATGATTTGCACCCCCCCCTCTTGGACACCTCCCTCTTTGCCGCCCCCGATGTCCGGCGGGGGAGAAGAGGGTTGGAATCGGGAGCCTTGAGACGGGGGTCAATGCAAACGGGGGTCAGCCAGAGCGCCCGATCTTGCAGGATCCTGCAGGGCCAGGGTCGCATTGACCCGGGTGTGGGTTCAGGATCCTGCAGGATCCTGCAGGATCCTTCGCATTGACCCGGGTTTGGGTGCAGGATCTTGCAGGAGTTTGCAGGATCCTGCAGGCTTGACTGACCCGGGTCTGGATTGACCCGGGTCAGAAGATCCCGGATGGAAGAGGAGCCCCCTTAGACCATCTACGCCAGCAGGGCTTCTGGGACTCGCCGCGCGTTCGTGGCGTCGTCCTTCTTGGTGCGATTTATGTGCTCCGATCTTGAGCCATGAGATCCCGCGGCATCTGGTCAATACTTGCCGCGGGCTGTTCCTTCCCACCGCGCCTTTCCTGAGCCGCCCCCCCGCCCCCGCCCCCGCGCTCAGCGCGTGCGACCCGTTGCCATTTTGGCTCGAGGGCGGCACGTGCGCGCGATTTAGTAAAATCAGGTGTTCTGCGTGCGCTTGGCATCGCTCGGACGTGTGGGTTTTTCCTTCGGCGAGGACCAACGAGGAGCATCCTTGATCATTTGGCGGAAAAACCACGCACGAAACCGAACAAAAACACAGGAAATGGACGTCCAAGCGATGGCCAGTGCGACGTCCGTGCGCCATCGCATCCCCGAGTGCGTGACGGTCGGGGGTCGCCTCGAGGGGCCCTGGCATTGCATAACTAATTGGCCGCGCGCCTGGGAGTGGCGCCGACGTCAACGCGCATTGACCTGCTTCTTGCGCGGCTGTGCGCGTGAAGTCACGGTGCGCACATATGGTCGCACCTCTGCGGCGCGCAGGGTATGCATGACGAGATTGGCAAGCCTTCCCTGTGCATGGAGCCAGCGACGTCGGAGGCTTCGCATCTCATTTCGCTGTTTTTTTGCCAATGCACCTCTGACGTGCACGGCTCTCTCTCTCTCTCTCTCTCTCTGCGGCACGCCCATGGCGGCTGCCATTCCCGAGCCCATTTTGGTTTGAGCAT